TCTTAAGGAAGGGCCTCATTTGTAATGGACTGCAAACACTAATGGATTTATTCAGACTGGGCCAGGCCCCGTGGTTTTTCCCCCTTTTCAGGGGTTTCAACGTAAAAACTCTGGTGTCTCTTATGAACGTTACACCCCCTCTTTTTCTACTTGTGTTCTGAATCTTCGTACAATGTTAAGACGTTAAACTTTATCATTCTCTACCGTCGTGAATTTTCTAGGACACAACAACTATAGTCCTGAATCTCAACAACAAAAGAGAAACAAAGACTCAAAATAACAAAGAACAGAGAAAAAAACAATTGATAGAAGATCAAATTTTGAATCATTTAAGTAATAAAGAGACATAACTTGGATTGTTGTTGCCTGCCCCTTTAGTGTCCACCGACTTCGGATAACAACTTTTAATTAAATGTTCACAGAATAATATTATAATTATAATTTGAATTTATGGAACCTATGGGGCCCACGCACTTGTATGTAAAAAATGATTATATTTTTATTATATTTGAATGAGAAAAATAAAAGATTGTGCGAGGAAGTTGGCAGTCAATATAAAATTGGTCTAAAAATTATGACATAAATCATTTAATTTAGTTGATCTGATTGGTTTTGCTTAGGCTTATTCTTCATTAATTAAATGATTCATATATTCCAAATCAATTGAAAATAAATATGATTTCCAGTAATGGATTGGAAGACAATGACTTAGATTGGATATGATTCCTTTCAATCCATGCGGCAAGAAACTGAAAGCGAAGTATGTCCTAACTGCTATTCAAAAAATGTTCAAATAGTTGTAAAGGTCACCCCATTGCATGCTATTGTTGAACATATTATTAGTGGCAGAATGTGAATCAACCATATTATAATTGGATCAGGATGGTTGAATTTTCTGATGTGTCCTCAAACCATGCATTGTTGTTGATTGCATATAATTATTGTACCGATTAATCGATTGTTGTGATTGTTGACTAAAACGGCTAGGAGAGTTTTTTGCCACATTGGGTAGGCGGTTGAAACCTGTATGTAGATCATTTGCTAGGTGCGGGATGCTCTCATCAAGTGGGTATGTCTGAAACTGCCCATCTATTATGTAGCGAGCAGGAAAAATCTAAATGAAAAGCTAATGAGATAACATGGGATTGTTTTATTATTAGAAGTAGTTGGAGAGTAACAAAAAAAAATCCAATTATAATTAGATTTTGCATCAAGGATTAGCATCTAGCTCAATTTTAAAATATTTTTTTAGATGCTTTCAAAGGATATTTAAAGTGGAGTATCTTGGTTTATGCTTTTTACAAATGACAATCCACGGAAATAAACGAACAAAGGAGGAAATATTTAGGAGATAGAAGTTAAATTAGTATAACAAAGTTTTGAGTATATGATATGCGATTGTGATGGGTGTATTATTAGCAATTATCAATCAATATTATTAGAAGATAAATTAATACTAAAGTGTGATATGTTTAAATATCTTTGATCGATTGTATATAATAATGGTCAATTGCACAAAAGAATGGGGATAAAGATGAAGATTCTAGTTTCTAGAGTTAAGATTGAGTGGTTAAAATGAAGAAATGCATCGGGCGTATTATGCAATAAAAAGAAATTATGGAGACTTAAACGTATTACTCATTTGCTTTTCATTTACATTTTTCCTGCTCTCTACAGAATAGATGGGCAGTTTCAGACATACCCACTTGATGAGTGTCATGCCCCGAGATCTAACTTGGAAAGAATGTCGATCAAACCAGTCATTTACCAGAGTCATCTATAGTCTCCAATTAATAACAGTCTATAAAAAGTCTATAAATTTAAAACATCCATATACAAGTCGATCCATATCTCAAAACATCATATACAATACTCAGGAACTATGCTAAAATCACAGGTACTGAAATCTATCCTGTCCTGAGTACAAAAGAATCAAAATCATCAAAAGAACTAAAAACCTGTAGATCCTGATCAACTTCTATCCCCTGCTCCCGAGCCCTGACCTGAAAAGTATCAACCATATATAATGAGCTTTACAAAGCCCAGCAGGTCACCTA